ATTCAATCGTTCAACCCAGACAATAATGCCGGGTTCACACCGGATTCCGGACCGGCAAAATTCCGTCTGCCGGGCCGGAAAAATGGCCAATTCCGTGCCGGAAAATTGAAAACTGGTGTGAACCGGCAAATCTGGCAACTTCTTTTGACCGGTCCGGCAGGCCGGAGAGCCAGATTTTCCGGTCCGGCAAAAAGTTGAAATCATCTCAACTTTTGCCTTGCCGGATAGCCACCGTTTGTGATATGAAATTAAGGCACGAGGGAAATAATGTTATGTTTCAGCGCTACAGGACCAATTTAACCAACGGTGCCCTAATAGTCTCGCGATTTTTCACGAGAATATAAAATTCAAGCGTAAATTTGACGGCGTTTCATTTTTATTTCAAAACATTTGCATCTCAAACGGAGTGATAGCTACATTTCTGTTTTTGTATTTCACATGTCTCATGGCCTTTTCAAATTATAAATTAATTTCATTGGTTGGAAAATATCCATGACTTTATAATAAAAAAGATAAATATTATAAGGAAGCGGTGAAAAGGGCGAATTTGTGGAACAACATTGCGGACGCGCTGGTTGTGGAAGGAGCGGAGCCAGTATCTGCAGAAGAGATTATCAAGCGCTGGAGCCGGCCGCAGGACAGGTAGCACAATTTACGTATTGCTAACTTCCGTCGTCTACGAAGTGGAGCCAGCCGAGCAGATTCTGAAATCTACATTCTACAAGACGCGCTGACAACACTTCTCTGCCCTCGATGCCCTCCTACACAAGCACATAGCAGCTCGGGAGGGTGGAGGCAGTTTTGCCATTCAATCGCAAGTAGAAGATTCAGGAAATACGATGGTACCTACTGAATGCCAAGGATATTATCCCGCGCCCTGCTGGGGGTGGGGGTGGGGGGAATATTTGAACCCTCCCTGTGGTTTTTCGCGAACATCTAAAAAACGGCGGCTGTTTTTGGCACACCTTATCATGCATCTTTTCTGCACATGTAAAAATTGTAGACCAAGGTCACTTAAGGTCAGGTCATCAGGTCACATCAAGTGACCTCACCTCATACAAAGTTTCAACGTCTTCCATATGCTACATCGAGCGACCGACCTCTTTGAAACTCTCAGCGATTGATAAGGGCAACAATATGTACATAATTTAAATAAATAACTATCTCGGAATTTTGATATCGGTGACCTAAGGTCAGGTCAATTTTGTGACCCCCCCCCCCCATTATAAGTCAATGGGAGAAAATTGATGCCAAGTTATGCGTTGGCTTGTTGTAAATCGTCGACATTCGACCTGAAAATCGGTGAAATTCGGCTTTCCATTACCTCTGGTGACCTGACCTTTGATTTGACCAAAAAAAAAAGTGACCGAATTAATTTCGTCATTAATTTTGACACTCTTTCGAACGCCGCCTTCCCCGTATCGCTACGTGGCCCAGGAGCCGAGTTAAAAGGGGGATGTTAAACACCCCCACCAGCAAGGCGTGGAAATTTAGGACCCCCCGCGGGGCGCGGGTTATGGCAGTAGAGCTCAGTGACAGTCAGATGACCGATTTTGAGACCCAGCCATCTACATCAGCAAGCGTAATATCAAGCTCGCCGTCTCTAATGCGCCCTGCCCAACCCTCAATTCCTCTTTGTTCGCAGGTGTTTTTAAACCAACAACAGCCAAAGCGCGATTGAAATTTATTAGTGTTTTTTTTGTCGATACCCAGCCCGCATGCTGTAAATGTTAAATTGTATTTATCTTGCTAATATACCTACCAGTCCGTTCCCGTCCCCGTTCCCCATCACCCGTAAGTGTAGACAACCGTGTCGGTGAACACAACGTACACGGGGGTACGACACGCATAGACTGGCCTCGCAGCCCCGAAATATTTCCTAATATAGTACCTCTTTTCGATACGACTAATTTCGACAAACCATGTAACTCTGACAAAGCATTAACTCAACCCATTGTAAAAAAAAAAACATTGTCCTACTTAAACAATTGGAAGTTGTAAGCGATGCCTGACCCTATTTCAACCATCCGTAATGTTTATGTCAATCCGGGTATAATTGTTAATGACTCGGCGGTCCGTGTAGCGATGGCCGCTCTCAGTGGGCCACAGGTCACCTCTGACTGCGGGTTCGGCTGAGCCATTGTTATCCCGCACCCCAGCGCGGTGCGAGCAGCGAGGGTCACCCGCCGATCCCCTGATCATTAGCACGGCCGAGCCCGTCCGGCCCGGGCGTCGCCGCGCCCGCGGGTTGGGGTCCGTCCTCCCCACGCGTCCCGAGACAGCACCTCCTCCGTGACGTCATGCACGCAGCAGACCCGACGACGCAATCGCGGATTACCGACTGACATGAAACGCGTGCTGGTAGCTATGAGTGCGAGAGAGGGAGAGAGAGAGAGAGAGGGAGAGAGAGAGAGAGAGAGAGAGAGAGAGAGAGAGAGAGAGAGAGAGAGAGAGAGAGAGCGAGAGAGAGAGAGAGAGAGAGAGAGAGAGAGAGAGGGAGCGAGAGAAGGGGGAGAGAGACATACATACAGACAGACGGACAGACAGAGAAAGGGAGCCAGATGGAAGCAGATGGCCGAACGTATAGATAGACTGACGAACGAACGGACGGACGAGTCAATGGGTCGCCAACTAACAGGCCGGCCTACTGACAGACCGTCAAACTGGCAGACCGACATACCATCAGACCAACAGACCATCAGACCGTGAACGACAAACCGACAGACTGACAGGTCAACAAGCCGACAGAGCGACTGGCCGACACTCAGAGACTGCATTAACGATCACTCGGAGAAGACTGATAGGAAAGGAGGAAAGTCGATAGATCGTATTCTTACACGCGGCGCATCCCTGCTCCGTTTTCAGTTGGTGCTCTACCAACCACCGCGTTGAGTGATCGTGTGCCGCCGTCAGACCCAGCGCCCCATCCCAGTTTCCCTGTGAACCCGCGCTGGACGGCCAGTGGTACGCGTTAATTGCTCTAGCCGCCGCAGGACCGGCGGCCGGGACCGACCGGGTGCCCAAAGATGGCCGCTTCTCTCGACCGGCGCCGGCCCCCCACCGCCGGCGCGCCGGCGGGTCACCGTCTGATCAGCCGCCAGGTAACCCCTCCCCACGAGCGGGACACCCCCTCCTTCACACACATTCCTGGGGGTTAGCCGGGTCGGCGGCCGCAGCCGGCTGATGGGTCCGGACGGCGCGGGCAGGGACATTTAAATCGTTCGTAAACGGTATTGATATCGTCGTTAATTGTCGGAGATAATGAGCGGCGTTCGGGCAAATTCTAAAGTTCAACTTAAAAAATAGTTCTGACTACACTCGATCAGAATCGTGAAATTAAATGATGCTTGTGGGATACGATTGCCGGAATTACAGACCACGTAACGTTAACTGTTAAGCAGAGCACGTAAATTTCACATGTAGGTCACATTTCGATTAAATGAAAGTGGAGCGAAAAAATGCCGGCCACTAAAGTATAATTCAAATCACAACTGATTCGTCAAGTTACTAAGCTCATCTCGGGCTTACATTAATTTACATCAAATTTGACTGGCTTTTACTTTAGCTCGGGCATTCCAACCCGTCGGAAATTACAATTTCGGAAATGAAAAATTTGTTGGTCGTTAATGACTTATGGGGTTTGTTTCGCATATTCACCAACCCTGAAACCTAGAAGACACTCGTCGTTCAGCACTGAGTTACGCTACATACTGAATGAAGTTACGCATGGATTTCTGGGGCTAAAACGCTCAAAACCTATCGTTACGCTAATTCGCAGATAGTGAGAAATAAACAACGTTTACCGGACATTGAAGCGATCGAGTATATACTGCAACGTACGTCGAATTGCACTGCATCAAAATTAATTGAATCCCTTCGTGCTAAATAATAAAACCTCGTGATAAATACTCAATCGTGCTGAATAATCAAATAATAGATCCGGCCACATAATTTCGAAAAAAAAACCCTGACAGTACTACTGACGCAATGCCTGTTAACTTTGACTGTCTCGAATCAGAGCTCTATCAATTAACAACCCAGTATGATGTAGTGTGACCTCCCACCGGTGCCTGTGTTCCAAAAAAATACCGACGTGTGAACGGTGTCAGAAACGGTGTTCTGCTCGGCCCTCCCATTCTCTCCGAAGTCCGAGTTCTCTCATTCTCTCCTTCAGCACTTCCATCTCGTCAAGTTAATCCATTCATGTTTCCCTCCCAAATAGCCCCAACAGATGTGAGTACTTTTCCAAGATATATTCAGTCAAAACGAAGAAAGAGAAACTAGCAGTGAAACGACAGAGTTTTCAGAGATATGCAAAAACTAGACTTAAACTATAGCCATAAAACATAGTGAACTGAGCCGATCTCCAAAACAGAGCGCCAGATTACCGATGTCAACTTTAAACTAAATAGCTACTACATAAATGCCGTCTTTTGAGCCTGCAACTGAATATTGGACAACCGGCTGGAGTAACCAAGACGAACGTAGCTGAGCATCAGATGCATTTTGAAGAAAGTACTACCGCCGTTCGCGTAATGAAGGCCAAAATTCGTCCCAATGGCCCGTCACTCTGATGCGTCCGGGCGCTCACATTTACACTCACGCACGCACACATTCAAGACCAGTCCTACCCCGCTTTAGACAAGATTGCCAATTTAAGTCTGTTAAGTGAAAAAATGAAACATATCCCAACCACCCCTTTTTGATACCCTACAGCAAGGCGCAATGCCGTTAACTCATTCAACAATTACACGCTCACACATACGTACATAACATGTCCCAGCCACCTCCATTTTTGATATCCAGATCAAGGCACAATGCCACCCAATCATACAACAAGTTCACACGCTCACGCATACGTACAGACCCCCCCCCCCCCAAACGGGCCTAAATAAAATTACATCCCCGGGGCGAGAGAAAAGCCGGGGCAGCAGGCGGGGCACATTGGGGAAGGATTATGATAGGAAAGCAGCTTCATGACCTCCAGTGCCGCGACCTACCGCTTAACTGTTGGCGGTGGACGACAGGGCTGACGGCCGGCTGGTAGCAGATTTAACGGCGGGCGGGCGGCACAGCGACGACGGACGGGTGGCAGAGTTGGCGGCCGCCCGCGGAGCGGTGGTGGCGGGCGGCAGAACGGCGGAGCGGCGCAGAGTCCTCCAGTGGCAGGCAGTCCTCCATCCTCCTCCTCCAGAACTATCACCGCCGACTCCTCCTCTCAAACTCTCCTCTCCGCTCGAACTCACTCCCTCCATCGCCTGTCCTTCTCCATCCTGCCGCTACAAACTGACTGTCTCGCCCACCTCTGAACTCCACTTCCCAGCTCTCCAACTCCAACTGAACTGCCGCCTGTCAGCGTCCCCAACGCCTCCGACTCTCCAACTGCCTTCTATCCTCAAAATCCTAAAAGTTTTGCTGGAGCTCCATCTGCCTCGGGCTGTCTCTGGATTTGCCGTCTTCGCTCCGCCTCCTTCTTCCGAGTTCTGCTGCTCTCTGAATTTCCAGTAAGGGCCAATTTTCCATGTCTTCTCTCTGTCTAACCAGTCTTCTGTATTTTCTGCTGAGTTTGGTTGCCGAAAGGGTGAGATTTCTATTAAATTTAACGTTATGTTGGGCCGAAACGTATGCGTTTTCCGCTGTGCAGCCTCCGGCGTGCCGTTTCCATGGTGACTGCTATCCTCTCTGGGTGCTCCTCCTCCCTTCAAATATTCTGGCGCCGATAGGTGAATTTGAATCTTCTGCCCCTCGTAGCCTCCGGCCAGGTTTGCCAGCGCGGGAAGATGGGCCCGGGAATACGGATGTGCCGTGCCATGCTGGAATTTGGATATTGTTACTCTGTCCCAGTTTCACGATGCTGATTGTCGGCGCCAGTCTCGGCACATCCTGGAAATGTGCTATTTCGAGCCGTGTTTTGAAGAAATTGCCTTTAAAGTGTGATACCGGTGGTCAATTTGGTCCCGGGCGCCCCGGCCTCCCGCTGCCGCAGCGGCGCTGTCGTGTCCTGTTTCCCAGGCTGACGGTGTCCGTTCGCCGCGCGTAGGAGGCTGCGTGCCTTTGTCCATCCGTCCCCCCGGCCCCCCTTGACCGGGGTTGGGACCCATTGCTGGACCCTTCCCACGGTCGGCGGCGGTGAGACGGCTCTGTAAGGGCCGCCGGATAATAGCATTTGGCGGCGCGGTCTCGGATCCGTGTTTGTCCTGCCGTCCGGTGTCGGCCAGATGGTCGGCGGGTCAGCGGTGTCTGGTCACCGGCGCGCTGCTGTTATAAAGGATGAATTTGGGAACGGGTTGGTTTGGGGAGGGAAAATGAAACGCGCCAGCGTTACAGATTGAGCATTCCGAAGACTATAAATAATATGAATTACGAGAGCAGTGTAGCAAGATATGCGGCCTCAAACCTTAGCTGGTCCGTCTTACCCCACCTTCCCCTATGTGAGGTGCTGATTGTATTACAGTGATACCTATCCAATTCCAAGTGCATTTTGTACAGTCGTTATGCCACTTCCTGCAGTGCACTGTGCGACTAATTGCTGTAATGTAATGACATAGTTGCCGTGAAATGGAGCACAGTCCAAGAACAGTGCGAAGGTGACGATCCCCAGTAGTCCCGAGCGGCCGCTGCCGGCGCCGACCCCGCCGACCCGGAACCGCCGGGGGGGGGGGGGGGGGCACGGCACTGTCACCCCGCCCCCGCCCCCGAACGCGTCGGCTCAGACGGATGAGACCACCGAGCGCCGCCCTCCCGCCGCGCTCCATATGGCTACGGGCTGGCAGGACGATACCATCGACTCCGAACACGACGGGAACACCGCCTGGCGTTCCCCGGAACACCGGACTGTCCAATAAGGTATAGCACTATAGCAGTAAGACCAAATGCGCGGCAAAGCTAAAAATTATAGGCATCCTGCGATGACAGCCAATGTTTGGAAAGCATCATTTATTATAGATGACACATCATCCGTCCAATAGCGAAAGCCAACATTGAAAAAGGCGCATCCTAAAAGGTAGAGACAAACATCATCTGCCGGTGCAAACGGCGCTTGGCAAACAGTTCGATACATGGTACACACTCCACATCCACTCCATTCTTGCCACAAAGAAACTGTCAAAGACTCCGGCCGCCGTGAGGCGGGGCTCAATGCTGGCAATCGACGGTATAGTTTGTCTCCGTCCGGCTGGCGTCGCTGTTACGGTCAGCCGTGTTTGCCGTCGGTCGTGGACCGCCGCAGACATCGACCCGGTCCCGGCAGCACCAGGGACGGCACCGCGCGGCACGGGCAGTAGACGGAGCGGACACGGACTCGGCGTCAGCCCGCCTCTGCCCGTGCGGTGATGTCTCTCCCCAGCGCCAGCGACGGCCGTGTGGAGCCGGCCAGGTGGCTGTCCGGGCCGGTGGGCGGCGGCGGGCCGGCCGGGCCGGCGGCCGCGCGCCACCTGCTGCGCCTGCTGCGGCTGTGCGCGCTGACCGGCGGCGCGGGCCGCTGCGAAACGCTGTACGCCGGCTGCATGTTCGTCGTCAACACCTTCGCCGTGGGCCTCTCGGGGGTGTTTTCGTTCCAGCTGGCCCTGCAGCAGGTGCCGCGTGACGGCGTGGTGCGGGCGGCCGCGCTCACCGGCCTGTTCGGGCTCACCTACCTGCTCACCTGGCTGCCCCTGCTGTTCTCCTTCCTGTGCGGCCGGCGGCGGCACGGCGCGCTCCAGCTGGCCGTGCAGGAGGTGCTCGACACGGCGGCCCGACTCCCCAGCCACGCCGGACCGGCGCACAGGCTGCGCCGAGAGGCCGCCTTCCTGCTGGCCGCCACTGTCGGTCTGATCGTCTACATTCTGATCGCCGCAGTGTACTTCACAGTGACCACGACGACGGGCCTGGTCCCTGAAACGACGACGTTACCGGCACCAATAGTCCTGCTCAGCGGCGTCACCTTTTCTCTGTACTCCACCTGTTCGCACCTGGTTCCGATCAAGTTCGCGCTGACCGGCGTTCAGCTGACCAGCGGGCTGCGGTGCGTGGCCGCCGAGCTGCGCGCGGCCGCAGAGAGCGTCGGCCCGCTCAGCCCGTCCGCCGTCCGCCGGCTGATGGCCCTGCAGGACCACCTGTCGGCCCTGTTCGCCGGCCTGACCGGCGTCATGACCTCAGAGCTGACGGCCGCCGTGGTCTACGGCACCGTCTCCAACGTGTCCATGTGGCTGCTGTTTGTGCTGAGCGTGCAGCAGGGCTCGCTGGCGCCCTACCTCACCATGATATCGCTGTACGTGATCGGCTCGCTGGTGACGATCGTGCTGCCCTGTGAGGTGACGCAGCGCGCGCTGGCCGCCGTCGACGACACCCGCGACCTGCTGCTGGCGGCCGAGCGCCTGCAGCCGCAGCTCAGCCAGCAGCTGGGTCTGTTCAGAGAGACGGTCGGCCGCGACCTGGAGCGACTCGGCGAGCTGGGCCTGTTCCGACTGCAGCGCTCCACTCTGCTCTCAGTGACGGCCACTGTGCTCACATATGTCATCGTGCTGGTGCAGTTCCACGACGCCGGCGGACCGCCAGGGCCCCACTGCGCAGACGCCAACGGAACCGCCGCCTGAGACGGCCGGCCTCCGCCGCAGAGGGGCGCAAAGGGCCGCTTCGGGGCCGGCCCCCGGCGCTCCGGGGCCGCTCCGGAGCCGGGAGCGCCACACCTGCTACTGGAGACTCCGAGACTCCAGAGCTGCTCGTTGGAGAGTCAAACTCGGAACTCCAGACATCCATGGGTGCTGCTGGGTGCTGCTACTAGAGTCTGGACACTCCATGGCTGCTGCTGCTGGAGAGGCCGGAGCAATTCACAGATGCTGCCGACTGCGGAAACTCCATCTCCCACCCAATTATAGCGCGGCAACCGGACGGTGGCTCCAGCGGCACCGAACGAGAGCCGTCTCTGGCACCAAGTGCGGCTAGCTGCGGATGGGCCGTCAGCAGCCGCCGGAAAGACGGGTTAAACAGGCACAGACACTTCAGCACACACCCCCGTGAAATGCAGCCGACGATTTTAAATAGCCGGCAGTAAAATACCGCATGAATACAAGAGGATTCTCTTTCTGGACGGTATCTTTTTCTGCGCATCATTCACAATACATTATGATGAATTAATGAAGCACGATATAGGCCGAGCTGAGTTTGTTTTGGAAACGGTTTTTAACAATCGCATAGGCATCTAATACACAGCCATCCAGTGTAACCATTCCATTGTTTATTGACCAAACTGGACACGATATTCACCATGACAAACTTATAAGCTAACACAAAAACTTTTAGCCATTTCAATAGAGTACTCCCATCACAATGTTCACGGCACGACACATTCACTATTCTGTTTGTTTGTTAGAAGCTGACGGCGTGTCGACTGTGGTGGTCATTTAATTGCGCCCATAGCGTTATACTGGTAAAAAGCCAAAAGATTTCTGGAACATCCAGCACACCTTCACTATTCACATCCATTTGCCACACTTTGCATTACTTCTGGTGTCGGAAGTCCGAAGCGAACATAGAAGTCGAGATGTCCGTTCTAATATCGCACTATGACCTGAGGTCACAGGCCATTTCGCCATACCCTCAGGGAAAAATGAACATCCTACAGCGATCCAGGGACCATCCCACTCTGTCCTACGGAGTCAGATATTTCAGGGCCCACCCCATCCTAGGGCCCACCCCACGCTGTGAGTGTGGGATGTGGGATGTGGGCCTGGGTCGGATCGCTGCCGAACCAGCCGTGATATGATCATTTATCACTACAGACGGTGCGCCACCACAGACTACTGAAACCGTCAGCGACCCCTGCCGACCGGCCCACGGAGCCGGCGAGGGTACCACACTACCACATAGGGCACCACACTCGGGCCGCGACAGACAGTGTTCAGACGCCAGGTATCGTGACGCAGGGATCGAATACGGACCGTGGTCAGGTGCCTTAGGCACGTGCCCCTGGACCGTGGTCAGAGGTAGGCACGTGCCCCAGACCCGTGGACAGTGTAAGACAGGAGCCCCTGGACCGTAGTCGGTGTAAGGCATGGGCCCTTAGACCGTGGCTAGTGTCTAAAGGGCCCCGGTGTCTGTTCTACCACAAAACCCAGTGTCTGATGGACACCTGGCTGATTGGACTGCGGTGACCTGTCGGGATATCGCCCACAGCGCTGAAGTGACCGGTATATTGGACTGACCCGGTCTGTTGGACTATCCGGTGACGCGGTCTGCTGAACTGACCCGGTCTGTCGAGAGCTGAATGGCCCGGCCCGGCGCACGGCACACTGCACCTGCACCCGCACTACGTGCGCTGTCCCTGCAGCTCCTCGTACTGAAAACCACACAGACAGCACTACATCAGGACCGGGAGATCACCCGCCGGTACAGCGACGACATTACTGAGTAGGTAAATTCAGAACAAGTGCTTGGCAGCGTAAGCACCCGACCACTAACCTGACATTCCCCCCTCTCCCAGTGACTAGTCAGTGACCTAAGCACCCTAAATTGATTACCCTACTAAACTGACCCTCTACCGCACCACGGGGCTGACCTGATACTAAGCCACACCGATGACCTGACACCTCCTCCACTGACCCGCCACCTGATGATATCCCTCCACACTGACCTGCCGCCGGTAGTCGGCCTCCATGTTGGCCAGGTCGTCCACCATGGCGCGGAAGCGCTCGCGCAGCGCCTGGTTATCGATGCTGGCCATCTCGGCCTGCTGCGCCTCGCGCTGCGCCTGTACGTCCGAGATGCGGCGCTGCAGCTGCTGCAGCTGCTCCTCCACCTCCGACGGCGACTCGGCTGCGGTACGTACGGACCAACCAGTGGGTTACCAGGACGGGCACACGGCACAGGCAGCCGCGACCACTGACACCAAGGACAAAAACGGAACACCATATTCAGATCCAATGCAAAGTCTTGCCAGTTTGTAGGATTATGCATATTTTTTGCGTATATACATAATACTTGAATTTACAGACCTCACCAAACAGTTAAACATTGTGCTCTAAAAATGGCCACACTCTATATAACAGTATATCGATATTAGCCACCCTGTCCTGTATTCAGGCAGCTTCGGTCCCCGATTCCACAGCGGCTGCGCCGCACCGATCACTGCCTCGCCTGACCCGCGTAACTCACGGTATTCGCGTTTGATGGATATGCCGGAAGGCGACGGTGTGGACTTGGCCGGCGACTCGGCGTGCGGAAACATGCTGCTGTCGAACTCTGTCTTCACCTGAACGTCGCCGGTGGTGTCCTGGCGGCGCGGTCAGAATCGGTCAGCTGGGGCGAGCAGAGGACGGTAAGAATCGGTCAACAGGGGGCGCTATAACCGGTTGGAGCGGAGAAGATCAAGTAAGAATGGCCAGGAAAGAGAATCGATTATGGAACAGTCATGAGGCGGTCAGACCTAGTGAAGGAGTAATGCAACCAAGTCAGGTAGGTGGTAGTCAGAACCTATCAAGCGCGGTCAGATAGGAATTCGTTCTAAATCAGGAAGGCCAGAAGCGGTCGAAGGGTGGTAAAAAAGGAAGGCCAGGGCTGATCAGCTGGGGTGAAAAGACCTAGAGTGCTCCAGCTCTCGGAGGACGGCTGAGGAGCTGAAACACTGCGCTGTCCGCTGAACAGTGTGTTGCAGCGGGGGCCACGGGGTATTACCGGAGTGTGGCGGCCGCGATGGAGACTGGAGATAACGGTGGCCGAGTGTGGCGGCGCCACCGTCGACTCACCATCGTGTTGGACATGTTGGAGTCGCCGACGGAGAACTTGGAGTTGGACATGGCCGAGTCCTCCGGGTCGTCCATCCGGTTCAGACTGCGGTCGGCCTCCTCGTCACTGTCGCTCAGCTCCTCGCCGAAAATGTCGTGCTCGCCTGGGGATGGGCAATGAACACAGGGTAGTCATGTGCTGAACACTGGACAATCTACTTTTCACACAAACAGTTCGTCAAGGAGTCTACAATTGGCCGAAATGGTTACAGGACGTGATGCAGAGGGAAACACAGCAAAGCTGAACAGAACAGAATTTGACTAAAACGTCAGAAGTTGCAGGCACATCTTTGCATTCATCAAAGACCTTTTAACGCATATACAGATTCGCAAGTTCCACCATGCACGAAAGTTATGACTTAAGGCATCGCAAGGGCAAAAAAAAAAAAATCCGGCTGTCGGGCGCCGCCGCCCGTCCGTGTCTATCCCTATCAGACCGCTCCCGATGCGACTGTCGCGCGTCCCGGCGTACCGAGCTCCTCCTTGATGCTGGCCACGGTCGGCAGGCCCGACTCGTCCTTGAGCTGCTTCTTCTCCTCGTCGACCACCTCGTGGCGCACATTAACAGCCTCGTTATCCATCCGCAGCAGCCGCTTCACCTCCTTCTCAATCTCCGGAACCTCCACAAACTGACGGAGAGACAGGACCCGACGTAACGACACCTCGACAAATTGGGACAGGGCGTACCAGTATAGACACGACACCTCGACAAACTGAGAAAGACAGGACCAATCAGTATGGAGACAAACCAAAGAGACAAATGAAGGACAACAGGGCTGATCAACATAAAAGCGAACCGGGACCTCGACAACCTGAGACACGGCACATCAGTACAATACAGAGACAAACAGACAGACATGTTTAAACTATTATCCGCACAATAATAATTGAGTGAATTCGCCGGTCAATACGTACCTTTTTCTTCAGCGTGCGCCTGAAGCGTCGTTTCCGGACGTTCTTGAGCGGCGGTGTGAGTCCGTGCGGGTAGAGGTACCTCTTCTCCACCTTGCTCGGGTCGCGTCGCTTCTTGTTCGGCGACTCGTCGTCCGAGGCGTCCTCGTCCTCCTTACAGAGCATCATCTGTGGGGCGGGTGGACGTCAGCAAAGGGAATACCTTTGTCGTCCTTACAGAGCATCTGTGGGGCGGGTGGACGTCAGCAAGGGGAAACCGGCCGATAATTGTCATCTAAGCAATTAATTCTTGCGTTAATTCCAGTTATTCTGTGATCACCTTCTGTGAGGGAAATACATTCCCCAAACAAAACAAGAAACCGGTAAATCATGATTGCTTTAAGTACGATCAAGCATTCGGAAATCAAATGGCATGTCGATGCAATGTAGGATTTAGCATTATGAAACCCAAACATGCCTGGCAAATGTCGGCAGTTTTGTAGAAATTCTTTCCGTCGATAGTCTTGTAGGACTCCGTGATGGTAGGCAGGTCCACAATCTGAAAGAGATAATAATGCACCTAAAACAGAATGCTAATTGAAATGCATAATAATAAGTTTCATACCGAAATCTTGGGGCACACCAAAGTCGATGCTGTTCAGTGACAACCGAATGAAAAAGTTTCATTAAACTCCGTGGGTCACTGGTCAAGTCTGTCCTTTCAAATGCCAATACAAAAGTGTTAAGTGATTAGGTACTGCATGGATGCCGAAAGCCATGACAACTTGATTTAGTTTCCGACACACAAGCTTATGTAACAGCAAAAACCCTGTCAATCGAAAATGCAAGTAACTGCACAAGTGGGATTGCACTGGTCTGCGGCTACCAATACAGATATGCTGACCTGACAGCAAAAAAAAAAACCCGCTGCCGTTCATCAGGGCGCTATCTCGTTGACGACCTGGTACCGCGGCTGCGCCGTGGCCCAGCCGCAGGTAGGTACCCACCTTGGCCGGCAGGTACCAGTTGTCGAAGCGCACTGTGCCGCGCCGCATGTCCGACTCCATGCTGATGAAGAGCCGGTCCTTGATGGTGGTCATGCCCTCGCGGATGGCGTGCCGCAGGCTCTGAGCCGGCGCCTGTGGAGAGCGCAGCGGCGGCGCCCGTCAGACTCGACACGGCGGGGACGGCAGAGCGCACAAACACGCCGAAGCTCACACTTATAAGATATTGTCTTAGGACTGGCGAGGAGACTTTTAGAGGAGAAAACACAATCAAGCTTAACTGCTATTGCATGAACTTAAATCAAATGAACCGAATCGTACAATGCCCTATCAGCCCTAGAAATAAGACAATACAAATATAATCTTTGTGTAAAGAAAGCCATAGAGATCTTATATTACAGCATCAATTAACAGAGCTGACAAGTGAAATGACTAAATGAGTAGGTACTGCTGGTTTGGGGAACAGCACTGACCGCTGGCAGGCGCAGGACGAACTGGCTCTCCAGCTCCACGGGCGGCTCCGAGCCGGGCGGACGCTCCGAGCGACGGTTCATCTTCTGAAACACACCAAACAGTTGAGTGGGTGCATGTGGGCAGACCTACAGGCCTACCGGAGCCGAAACTAATACCTACAGGAGAGGTGGGGGACGTTTCTGGCCACACTCAAACCTTTTTTTGCGTTACATAACATGTAGAGAAGACCAAACGGCAGCCGCCTCAAAATAAATATATCCTAAATACACCAATTTTGCATCGTGTGTGAAAAATTGGCACCAGGTCAAGGTAACATAACCCTCGCCCATAACCTTGGCTGAATTTTGCCAACCAACCGACCAAGAATGTCGGGGAGGCAGGGTCCGTTGGATTCCCCTAGCTGTTCTGCCCCTGATCGAGCTAGAGCTTCTCAGAAAGAGCGTGCTGCCCATGATGAAAGAAAGCCGATGATACCCAATTTTAACCCTCACCCCAACCTGGGTTGAACGGACCCCCCTCGGTTCTTCGCGAATAACACGTAAAAATTGATCGATCGCGACGTAACTTTAAGTACCGTAAAATGGGGTGTTAAGGGACAGTGGGGTGTTAAGGGACAGTTGCACGGGAAAAACTTTGAGTCATATTAACTTCCCAATTTGAGAATGTTCAATAAAAACTTCAGTGTGGTAGTTGACACTGTTTTGCTCTTGACCATAGGAGAAAATGGTATGGTTTTTCATGCAAGTGATTTGGTTCAAAAATGGATTTGAAAATCATGCTACATTTTCACAAAATTGAAACATCTCCAAAACTCTGTGTGTACCACATAAACTAGTGGGTGTACAGGGAAAATGAATGCATAGGTGTAATTGTCACATGTATTGCACATGTTTCCTGAAAAACTTGTGCAAATCCACCCATTCATTCATCATCCTCTTCCTCTTTTCCGGATACATGCATATTTTGAGGTGGATGTGGGGTGCTAAGGGACAGGGAAGAAAAAATAAAAAATAATATCTAAATATAATTTAATTAAGGAGGCATGGAAAACACCAAATTCCACATAAAATGCTGGCAAGTTCATGCTTTTATCTCTAACACATCTTAAGTTATGTAACAAAACATCTCAACACTCTCGTTTACAATGATGGGTCAATGGAGACTGATGAAGATAAATGTGATTTCATCATAAAAAGGCTAAAACAAAGAGGGCAACAGAATGACAAGTGACTAGCTTCAACATGGGTTTTTATTGATGACAGAAGATTACTTTTTGGTTCTGTTTGCCTTATAATAAGCACATTTTCCACAAGCGTAAACTGCATTACACGTAATTGGCTAAAAAGGTCATTAGTGGTGAATGAACCTGACTTGTTTTGTGACAGAATATGCAAAACATTTCAATAAATAAATTGTGTGCCCTTCCACGCCCCAATTGTGGGCATTTGATGACCATTTCTTGGAATAATATAGGTGTCCCTTAACACCCCACATTGGGGTGCTAAGGGACAGTGATGAAAAATAATAAAAAATAATATGCAGGTATAAATCTTAAAAACTTTAATGTGGCAGGCATGTAAAGCACCAAATTCCACATAAAATGCTGACAATTTGATGCTTCTATCTCCAACCCTTCTTGAGTTCTATAACAAAACACCTCAAAACTGTCCCTTAACACCCCGTTTTACGGTACCCTCGCGTTAATCAAATGAATACCAGACAGTCACCACATCCATGCAAAGGAAAGTTGGTATTGGTATGGGAAAATAAAATTCACAGCTCACCAGTCACCTTCCGCGTATGATACGAAAAAAATTAGCAGGTTGACCGAGCTTGTACCCACGGTAATACCATAACACCGGAAAAAGAAGCTATCAGTATTTGAGGGCAAACGTACGGGGACTACAGTGCTATAAGCGGCTCTCTCTATCGCCTGGATAAAAATAGGCCCCGCCCATCCCAATCAGCTGCTGCATGACGAGTTGATGACGACAACCACTACTTACCAGCAACCAATCTAGGGATAGCGTACGTGACAGTAATGGTGCAGCGGTTGCAAAATATTACATTGTTATTCAAACGGTTTTTGCTTTTAGGGCCTTGTTAGATGAGGATGAGGTTAGATTAGATGAGGTGTTGATGAAGGCAGGTATTTTTTTTAAATATTTTTTTGACAATTTTTTGCCCTTGTTTTACTTAAGCTGAACCAGGGACCACCTGAAGTCTAAACCTTATTTTATATAACATGTCAATGCTGATGCTGTCTTGAAATGTGAAATTTAGACAATGGTTATAGGAATAATGAATAGCAATTTCACCAACAACATTTTAATCTCTAGGAAGTGCAATTAAAATTAAAATCACTGTCTGCCACACTGCTCCATCCTGGTCATGCAACCAACGTTCATGGGTGGTGTTTCACGGCAGAGCACGCACTGCAGTGCTCAGCACTGCAGTGCGCTGCGTGTGTCAGAGCATTGGGTTTCCATGGCAGTGTCAACAAACTTCACTGTGACGCTAAGCTATGACAGCATCCCAGAACGCTAGCACGCTGCGGTACCAGCACCAGCAGCATGCTAGCAGTATTTGAACTCAAACCTCTGTTCTTGGTACGGTTTTTCAGAACCTCTCACTCTGTTCCAAACGCGATTGATCATAAACTAAGAGATCACATGCAACGTCATTTGAGTGATGCTATGGTATGCCGTAGCTACCAGTGCACACAGTGTCTGGATGGTGAAACAGGGCCATTATTAATCACATTTGCTTTGCTTTGTTTCAGCAGAAACCTGTCTGCACATGGGAGGAGCTCAACAAAAGCCCATCAAGTTCATGCATGGCAGTGGATCTCAACAGGAGAAAACCAGAAAGAACATGGATGCTTGTAGATTGCAGTTGTACACTGCTGTTATCACCTGATGTGCGTGGCTGGCATTGCTCCTGGCAAGAACCACCTGCAAGTGATGAGAATGAGATGGTGCCTCAGTCGTTGAGTGTGCTGCAGTGTGAGAGGCGCCCTGATCTCTACTTTGTGATAGGTTTCCATTGGAGGTTCAACTGAGAAGTGAGAACTGACTGTGACCATGCTTGAGCATGCCAGTGGAGCTTTACATGCTTAGGGCAGCTTTTGAACAGATGCTGACCATGGCATGTCCCATCCAGTTATCACGTGCACAGAATGGTGGGGGGAGGGCAACTCTGGGCTCTTGAGTCAGCCCTACTGCACAGGGGGTACAGATGGCCGCTTACGTTTGGTGTGTCCTGCACTGCATTATCAAGCCCAGTCTGCGCCACAGGCAATGGGTCGGGCTGCACTATATTAAAGGCAGACTATCTTGCAAAGGAGGCTGGCATCCTCTCCCATAATGACACACCAATTGGCAATCATCGCTGCGATGATCACGAGGGTGTCCGCTTATCTAACATGGTGAGGTGGAGAGCCAGTTCAAGCTGGCCTGAGGGATGGTTTTACTTCATCTGAGGCCCCCTTTCCCCGCCTGCCAGGTCCGGTCAAACGACCGCTTCACAGTGAACGACTTGCAGTGGATGCCGTCCCACAGCGCAACGAGCTCGCCGACCAGAGGCGGCGGCCAAGAGGCGGCCGCGCTCCCCCAGTCGACGGTCCCGGTGGACGTCGGCGACGCCCACCGCGCGACCATCAGATCGGCTCGCGACAGCGCCGTCGCCGACTGACCGCATGACTGGTATCTGTTCTTGATGTGGGACCGACTGCCACCGCCGGTCGCGGAAGGGCATCGCTCATCGGCCATCGACGTCCGCCAGCTTCGCGTGGGTCACTGTTCGGGCTGCCACCAATACACCGAATCGGATGGAACCCTGTCGGCGAATGCCGGCGGTGCCCCGACATCGACTGCGCGGCGGCCAGTGCATCGCGTGCCGGGAGGAGGCTGGCACCCCCGATCGGTCATTGGTCACAAACCGTGTCCCAGCTCATGACTGCATCCAGCGCAGCTCTGTGAGATGTTCTGCAGCTGCTGCAGTCTGCCGCGTGTGTTAGTGAAAGAAGAATGAACATGAGAAAACCTCAAAACTTTATGCCTATTCGCAATTGACCAGTATTGGAATAAGTTTGGATTTTGAGAATTTGTGTCCCTGTGCTTGTGCCTGTGTGGAAAGGCATGCTTTACGGTGTACCATCTCAATGTCAAATCCCGGCTGCGCTGTGCGGATTTGTGCGGCTGCTGACAGGCCACCTGGGTGCCAACGTATGTGCGAATCCGCGAATACGTTGTGTTTCGTCAGTCAGTATCGTTCTGAAAATATTGACTGCAATAGGCTATATAGCGTATGACGGTTCAGCCCAGCAGTAATAACTGACCATTGATTGGGCGAATTTTGTGTGGTGGTTCGCTAATACATAACCTAAAGAGTGTTTTGCCGGAATCGTTTAGTAGCAGAACTGACCGGAATATAAGTAGAATGCAATGGTTTGAATCGTTAATTTGTTGAAACGATTGTTCTCTGAGACCACTGTGTAACTTTTGACCTGAGAATCACCAATTATAACGACAATGGGGAAGCAGTAGGCTGTACTGTAGAGTGTAGGCAACACTATATAGTTGGCACACATACGGAAGCACACGACTTACGCAGTGGACATCTGCATCATGCATGTTAAGGTTTACTGGGAAGAGTGAGAAATTAGTCAGAATATAACTGACTAAGGAAAATAGGCGATATTTCCTATTGAGCTGGGGCGGAGAGGGGGAGGGGACGTGTGGTCAGCTATGCCAATAATTCATTCTCTTTATGCAGCTGTGTAAAAGGGCGTCCGTTTTTGGGTGAGACCTTCCCCATCGGCCATTTCCAAGTTAAATCGTGGTGGAGAGTCTGGAGACCTCAGCCTCGGTAGTCGGCACCCTGCGCGCTGCGCCACCTTGCGAAACATAAAGCAGCAGTCCTGACATCTACAGGCGTGACTTTTCATGAAAGCGCGGATGTGTTCGCGCTTATGCGAAAAAAATGCTTCCGAGTATGGTTGATAATGAGATTAATTGTTGTCATTTATTTATTAATTCATTGGCAAAAGTACCCTAATAAATCGGTAAAATAGCTTGAACTGTATCGTATTTCCTTGGGAAAAAATGACGAACTCATCCTAAGACATCCAGATTATTGGATGCGTTCGTCAGTTGTAAGTAGTTCAAGTTTTTGGGAAAATTTGCTTGTGGAAAATCATAATATTTCAAAGATATGCCTATTTTTGAATAATTTATGCATTCATCTGCATTGAAAAATGATTGTAAAGCAAAAGTGCAAAAGATAATTGTCAATTTATTTTCTCAAATCACAATTTACGAACGCACAAAACTCCAGCTTTTAATTTAGTGCGTGTGCGAATTGCGGTCAAGAAAAAATATTTAAATTGTCTATATTCCTCTTAAAACAATGAAGGATGAATGAGGAAAACGCTGTTTTGAACAATTGTATATTTATTTTTTCTTAATTAAGCAAAAGTACAAAATTTTCAACTTTTATTACATTTGCTCTCACAAAATCCATCACTTTTTAGCATGACGTCATGTCAGCCAAATTTACTAGCGCCATCTCTGGAGAGCATCTTTCGAAACCTCCAGACGATAGAGAGAGCCCTATAAGCAAGATACCTATAAGAAACCAAAACGCTATGGGGACATATTATTGGGAAAATATAGGCGGCGTTCGATGTCTCCCGGACGGCAAAGATTCTTTTCCTTCCGGCCAATCCCGTCCAAGGTCAGCGGGGGCTCGGCTGCGGTTATGAAACGTGATTGGCCGGGCGGCGTAGAATCTTCGCCGTCCGAGAGACATCGAACGCGGGGATAAGCAAATAAAAAGATAGGCGAAATCAGCGCAGCGAAATGCATAAATCGCCGAATTACAAATACTCACCAGAAAATTATTTTGATGACCTCATTAAAACCTAAATAGTACAAGCTGCAGCTGCAAAAAATACATTTATTGATCAAATGATACTCTGTCAAAATAAATTTTAAAATTCAAAATACTTTGTAGAACTTATTAAAATGAAAATTGAGGATTCTTTTAACCATTTATGATGATGGCCAGGATCCCTTTCTATCATTTCAATGACGTCATCAAAAGCAAATAAGTACTATGAGATCACTCTAGATATAGAAAGCACGCGTATATATCTTTCCCGAGCGAAAAAAACAAACATTCCAGTTTTTTGGCGCTTTTGTTTCAATTGTGGTGGTTCTGTTCGAGGGCCCATACAGATGGTGTTTGCGCAAAATTTGTATCGGAAAATCACTGACTATTTAGTGTCGACAGCTGCATGTTAACTTTTTGAACACGCCTCCATCACTGCTTGTTTATAGGCTGTCTGTGGGTATTGGGCTGTGTTGTGCTGTATATACCGTGTTTTGCTGGGTGATTGTGATAATATTTTGATGATTAACCTCTTTATTCAGCGGTAGAGAATTCTGAAAATTCCAGGGGGTGCTACAACCCCTAATTATCCACCCCTGTTTTTTTATTTTAAGTTCCATCCAGTACCAGTATGAGTGTTTATGGCTTGGAAGGTAGGTGAAACATTTCATTATTGTAATTTTAATCTTTTGAGACCTGAATTTCAACATTCTCTTGAGAGCCTGAGAGCATTCATGCCAAGGTTTCTGAGTCTGTTTCATGATAAAGAGACAATATTGATAATGGAGTCAACTTGTGGGTCAAGTCAGCAGATCTTGATAAATGAGTACGTATGACATCACCTCTACACCTGTCGCCTCCTGTATTGTAGTGATGGCAGGTTCAATGCTGAGTCTCAGAATAATAGCCAGCGAGCGTATACTGTTGTTTTGTATTTCTATGCCCGATCAGCCCTAATATGTAATGTCTTGCATTTCTAAATATTGAACTGTAATGAATGAGACGCTGTAATGAGGCA